GCCTGTTTGCGGTTTCTCTTGCAACCTTGAACTACTCATCGCTACAGGCTCAGCTGAATCCTCTCCACATGTTGCCCGGGAGGCGCGGGTGTCCTGGCAGCCTCTCGATTGACCACCACTTCCTTGCAGGAATGGGCTTGCGTAACTCCGCATACGAGTCCTCGCACTCCAATGAGAGGCCGTCGAGGCCCATGGTTCTTGCAAGCTTTGGTTCGTGAAGTGGACATAGACTTGATAGGCAGCGCACCACCTTCCTCAGCTACCTCATGCAGCCCGCTGTCGCCGTCAAGCATGTCAGTTGGACGCTGAGACCGTGGCAGGTTCGTGGCTGCAACTGGTGAACGCGTGTCGTGCTGACCAGGAATCAAACGGACAGGATCAGAGTCCGGCAAGGTTTGATGCCCTGTTCTAAGCTGATGTGGAGCTTGGTCTATCATTCGTCAGCGCTCCTTGACGCAGTGAACCACATGCAAGCAGGTCCCTCAGGTGACGCACGCGTTGTCTCAGTCGAACCCTGAAGCAGATCTCTTCAGCTTGTGAATTTGGCATGACTGAGTTTTTGAGGTCTTCATACCCATTGCCGTACACACGTACACACACTGAGGTAGGTGGCACTGTGGCACTGCCTCTTGGCTCACTTCACAAGGCTTGTCACACACTCCAGAGGCTGAAGAGGAGGACGAGGAGGAGGTGTTGGAAGACATCTTATTACCCGCTCCGTTCGTGGATCATGAGGACTCTGGGCTATCTGGGTTGATCTGCTGCATGCTCTTTGGTGAGGGAGTCTGAGAGGAGCGGGTCTCGACTGTTCCCAGCGCCGTGAGCGATACCGGCCCCAGCGATAAGCAGGCACGTCATGGCACTGCCCTGTACTAAAAGTACGTAAATGCCACGCAGAGTTGAAAATACATGTACATATGCAGGAGGCATGGCGTGAACTGCCATCGATTTCCGAGGCACGAATCGTGTGCGACACGAATTCTGGTTAACATATCTGGCCATACCCAGATGCAAGATCACCTGGAAATCAAGACTTCAGGGCATGCAATCCTTCCTTCGATAGCTAACGCTAAATCCCAAATTGTGATTGCAGGGCTTGTTCTGCCAATGGTTGGCAGCAGTAATGGCCGAGCAAATCCTGCGCTGTCTCTGAACAGCTGAAGTTCTGTAGTCTGTTTCATTCCTATGTCAGATGTGCATCTTAGGATACTTGGTCGTTTGCCAATTGCTTGAACGGAATGATTTCGTAACAACGTCAGGGACGGCCTTGATGTGAACAGTGAGCTGTGAGACCTGTCAAAGTGTCAATTAGAAGATGCACTGCATTGGAAATACCTGTCACTCAACAGGATGTGAGCCCATCACGGCAAATCGATGCGGAAGAGTGCAAGCCCTAGGTATGTGAAGCAAGTCGCAAGATGTCGCAAGCCATAAGACGGGAGAAGCCGCAGAGACCAGGCATATCAAAGTGGAGCATCCTGGAGTCCCTTGCCTTGGCCGCTGACTTGGGTGTCTTATAATGGGTTCGGCAGTTCTGCACTGCGCTCCAGTGATAGCCAGCAAGTTCTTGGTTTCTGCCGTTGTTCGTGTTGCTGCAGCTGATGCTGGTGCCGGCGCTGGTGCTCCAAGGCATGTTCACTGGAAGGTGTCTCGAATTCTGGCAGGGAGGGGGGAGGGGATGCGATTTCATGCACGGGACTCATTGCTTTCATTTGACAGCGGATTCTGTGGCTGCCTAATGTAGCTTGCTTAGGTACATCACCCGCGTTGTTAGCCCTTTGTGATGGATAAATGCAGCAGCCCGGTGGTAGTTGTTGTTTTTGGTTGTTGTGGTTGTTGTGGTTGTTGTGGTTGTGGTGGTTGTGGTGGTTGTGGTAGTGTTTATTGCGTTTATGGCTGCGGTTCAAGTTGCGGTTGTGGTTAGGTTAGGGTCACAGTTATGGTCGCGGTTAAGGTTGCGGTTGCGGTTGTGGTGGTGGTGGTGGTGGTGGCGGCGGCGGCGGCGGCGGCGGTGGTGGTGGTGGGGTGGTGGTCGTGGTGGTCATAGTGGTCGTGGTGGTCGGGGTCATCGTGGTCGTCGTGGTGGTCATGGTGGTCGTGGTCGTCGTGGTCGTCGTCGTCGTTGTGGTGGTCGTGGTCATCGTCATGGTCGTGATCGTGGTTGTGGGCGTGGTCGTGGGCATGGTCGAGGGCGTGGTCGTGGTCGAGGGCGTTGTCGTGGTGGTGGCAGTGGCGGCGGTGGCAGCGGTGGTGGTGGTCGTGGTCGAGGTCTTGGTCTTGGTCTTGGTGGTGGTCGGGGTGGTGGTTGTGGTGGTGATGGTGGTGATGGTGGTGATGGTGGTGGTCATGGTGGTCGTCGTGGCGGTGTTTGTGTTGTTTGGTTTCCTGGTGGTCGTCAGTCGTCGGCGTGGGCATTGGTGTGGGCGTGGGCGTGGCTGTTGCTGTTGCTGCGGAGGTGGTGGTTGTTGGCGTGAAGGGCGTGGGCAGGGACGTGGTGTGCCGGGGTTGGTGGTGGGTCCTAGAAGGTTGTGCTAAAACCCTTGCTTTGTTTTTTTGTAAGCCGAGTTCATATCATGTGTTCCCGTTCACTAGCGCGAAAGATGGACCGCGAAGGGTCTTGCCATAGGGGCTACCTGAACGGTTATCTTGAATTGCTGAGATGAGCCTGGCAAGGTTGCTTTGGCTATGTCTTCCCTAAGCACGAAGCCCTTACACCCATATACACGCATGACATGTTCTTCTCAAGGAGCCCGCATATTCATCATATAGACAACAACATCAACTTGGCAAAGCATAGTTTTACTTGGCGAAAGACCGCGTAAGCTCCGTGAAAGGCGCCGGGAAAGGTGGGTTTTCGGGAGAAGGAATCTAGAACAGACCTCAGATGATAGTGCTAACGCGCGTTTTGTTGCTCCAAATCTCATACAGCAGATTGAAAGCCATGACCTCAAATAAACGCCCAAAGCTGGAAGTGTTTGACGTGCGCTTCTAAGATCAGGTCTTGGCACACAGGACACGGCAGTGGCCTAAGTAAGCGCCACATGTCACGTTCTTGGCCCTGGTCATGTTCCAAGGCGCAGATTGACCTGCATGCTGCTACAAGTGGCCCAACAAACCAGCCAGGCGTGAGGCTCAGTGCGCATAGTCAAGATGATGCGATGTTCATCTTTCTGTGCGATGACCGGAGGTGATGAGTCGCGCCCTATCGGCAAAAAGCGGGGTGTCGGAATGAAGCCATGTTCCATGTTGCGGAATCAGCGAGGCTTGCCACGAAACAAGCTGACGGAAATGTTTCTCGTCTGGTGCCAGTTGTGGAGGTTCCTTCTCCTTCTGTTGTAACGTGCGCTCAATGTCAAGTGGCAAGTTGACAGGTAGTGCAGAGCCAACAGGATCCACCAGGCAGCACTTGCTGGCTTTGACAAGACAGACAGATCTCGACTGCGGAACATGGTGTTCACGCTTGCTCGAAGTTGACCAGCTGATGCTGGCAAGTCAGCAACTACGCGCAGAAATGATTCGTCTGCATCCAAAAGTTCATGATGTCAGAATTGGAACCTACATGAACCTACAACATGTTGCCACGCATGGAAGAGCTCAACTCCAACATGGCTGTTTCTTCTTGACAGAGACTGGAGTTGCAAGCGCTGAGATCATGCCTCGTCTGCCCTTGCTTGCTCGCTTGCTTGCTCGCTTGCTCGCTCGCTTGCTTGCTTGCTCGCTTGCTTGCTTGCTTGATTCAGCTTCGCATGAATGCATGCCCGCTGAGATACGGCTGGCCAAGCATGTGCGACACATCTGCCCTAAGTCAATTGATGGGCTACTGCAATCCATTTGAAACATATTCAAGGGGCTGTGGCATTTTCGTGAGATTGGCCGTTTTCTGAAAAATTGCAGCAGACGGAGCATGGCGCCATGGTGCAATGGAATTCAGAGTTGCAGAGCAAACTCCCGTCTATATAGGCTGCGGATCATCCCGATGAGCCGTAAAATGTCGCAAACGACCTTGCGATCTAGTGTGTTGTTTTCTTGGGATGGCATGGAGACTCGCGTGTGTGTGCGCGCTTGTGTGTGTGCGCGCGCACAGTTTCAGGCTGAGCGTACAAGTTCAAAAACAGGGGTCATTGCTTGTGTGCCACCTTATTCAAGGGCAGCCTTGCATTTCACGGCTGGAGCGTTTTTGCCCTTGCTGCTGGTGTTGTTGCTGTAGCAGCAGCAAAGAGATAAAAAAAGAAGATGATGGAACAAGGCTTCCCTGACAGCAGGCGCTGCTCATGACGTACCGGCACCCATGACACATCACGAGGAGACCTGGCTCCGCGTAAACTTAGATTCCGGTCCCACCAGCTTTGCGTGAGGAGTCCTTGCCAGTCAAGGATGCCGCTGCTAGCACAGCATCCACCAGCCACGCGGCAGACAACACTTGTTGGTGCCCGGTTGAGAATGCTACGCAAAGAGCAGTGGGTAGACAGTCCTTTCTCCAAGAGCTATGCTTACCAGACAACACGTTGGCATGCTCGTTGGAATGAAAGCAAGCTACAGCAGCAGTCGTCTATAGTCGTCTGATGTGGTTTCATGTTGTTTCTGTTCCGATATTTGCCGATTGAGGTGTTGGTGCAGAGGGGAAGCCAAGGCCATACACTGCCAGTGCTTGAGCCTGTCAATTTTGCTTGGCCAGATGGAATGGCTCCGATGAGAAGCAGCTGGAGCTGGAACGCTCTTTCGCTCACAGTGGCCTTTTCTCGAGCCTGAACCCTCAGCAGGAGCTAGGAGGACGAGAGGCTGAGTGGGGGCCTTATCTACTCTGGGCTGGTTCCCAGGATGCCGACATCTGCAGGCGTGTATGGCGTGCAGGCTTCATGCTGCATGCTTCATGTGTCTTTATGCTCTGAGGCACGCCTTGTCCGACGAGGCCCGAGCATCGAGAGATGGATGTCCCAATGATTAGCTGGAAAGTTTGTTCTTGCGTGAGGTGTCATCTGTTCCGAAAGCATTGGTAAGAGATGCACCATCTTTTGGCCGCTGGGGCAGCTGAACTTGGAACAGGCCGAAGTAGATTGAGAAAACTCTTGTCCTTCGTGTCTCTTGCCTGCCTGCCTGCCTGCCTGCACGCCTTCCGCCCGCCTGTCTGCCTGTCTGCATGTTTGTATGTCTGCCTGTATTTGCGAAGTCCAGCAGCTTATGAAGCGGGGCTGCATTTAAGGCAAGAAGCACTTTGTGATTGCGGGGAGCGTCTGCTCCTCCGATCCAGACGCGCTTTCGACCACACCTGGCGCCTTGCCTGCAAAGCTCCGCTCAAAGCTCCGCAGAGCCCACAAAGAAGAGGGTGAAGCAACAGCCCTTCGAATGCAATGAATGTGCAGGTCCCCTTGATGAACATGATTCTGACTGGCCTTTTGCAAGAATGTGCTACGAAGGAAATCTGGATGTCGACAGTTGCTCGTCTGTAACCTTTGGCAAAAGAAGACGTAACAGGACCTGACATCGGGAAATTGTACATACACCAACGCCTTCGGCGGCAGCAGCCTTATACTTCAGCCATGCGGCTCCTTCACAGTTGTATCATGTTGCTGTCCCTGGAAACACAGCAGGTCGCAAGCTCGAGGCAAGAAGCGTCGGCAGTCCCAGCATAAATTTCCTTGACATGCAGTAAAGAGCGCTATTTTTGGGCCCATTGCCTGAGAGGGCAGGCTGTGACATGACACAGTCCGCAAGGCCCGAGCACTTACAAGGACGAGGTTGACTGTCTCAGACTCCAGGCGAGGCATGAACATGGCTGCATCCCAGCTGCCATATGCTTATCTCCAGGCTGGACTGGATATGGATTGCGCGGCTCGGCTGCTGTAGTTTGCGTGTTTCGTCCATATCTGTATGCCGCATCAAGTTTGGTACGTGAGGCCTACTGACCAAACTGGAGACACGGCGGAGAATCACGCCCTCTGTAGAGGGGTGATCATTCAGACATTTGCCAAAGCACTCACAGGGTAGGAGCAAATTGTAATAGAGCGCCAGAAGCGCTGGCTGTCTTTTGCAAATGTTGGTGGCTGTACAATAGCTCAACAAGAAGAGCAGTCAGGTGATCCTGAAAGTATTTAGACCTTATCACTTTGAAGTCCCGATTCTGCCTCCAAGAGGCTTCGGGTGCCAATGTTCATAACAACTTCATTTTGCTGAGCGGATGGGGTCATCCGCCAACGCAGCCTCCTTCGTTTAGAAAAGTGCTAGCCGGAGTCTTGCCTGACCAGGTGCAACAGCTCATGCGCGAAGTTTGCCCGGTTTTGGTGTAGCTGCCCAGACAGGCCCAGACTAGCCAGATGCAGAGCGGTCAGAAGATGGAGCTGTCGTCTGTTTGCACAATCATCACGACAACTTCTCCGACTCCATCCAACCCATCGACAGAGATGATATGCTCAACTCTCGAGAGCCTTGCAGACTTTGTTCCGGAGCTGTTGCTATGTCGCCACATCATTGTGTGCGACGGATACCGCCTTGCCAGCGACAGCAAATTCAGGAGTGGAGTTGTGACGGAAGAACGGGCAAGGGCATATGAGCAATATCGATCTAGTCTTGAGATTCTGGCAGAAACGAAGCCGTCACCAATCTGGGCAGCTGTGGAAGTCTTACGACTGGCAGAGCGCCAAGGCTTTGGATTTGCGGTGCGGGCAGCACTGGAGCTAGTCCGCACGCCTTTCGTGTGCATCATGCAGCATGACCGCACATTCATGCGCCGCTTTGAGCAAGTAGAGCCACTCCTGCAAGCCATGTCGCAGAATCCTTGCCTGAAGATGGTCGGCCTACCCACAACAACTAATGATCCGACACGCTACATCATCCAGGCTGTGACCAAACTGGGCGAAATGAAGGTCAGCCATCCGCCGTTCGATTCTTTGATAGTGACGTCTTCTGCAAGCCCTTTTCTCCGATTCATACCAATGATCATGTGGCATGACTCCACGCATTTTGCATCTACCTCCTACTATCGAGACTTTGTCTTTGGCCGACGGCACCTAGTGACGCGTGGTGGATTCATTGAGGATAAACTTGGCCAGCAGCAGGGGATGGACCTGCGCTCCTTGGGCTGGAGTAGCCATGCAAGCTACGGAACGCCCCTCATTTGCGCATACAGCTCTGCACAAGACTTGCTGGGGGTTGCGTAGGGACGCTTGGCGGGATAAGCCCTGGGAAGTAATCTTGGGCGCGTGGCAGTGGTGTTTACCCACAGCTGAGCTGAGGTTCCTTTTGGATGATGGAGCACCAGCACCAGCGCGCATGGTTGGCCACCTGGATGGGAAACGCTACTTGCGACAAGAAGCGAGGATTGCTTTGGAAGCAGCTGAGAGGGCAAAGGCTTCCGCATCTGTGGCTGTTGATGCTGATGCCCCTGTTCCGGCTGTGGACGAGATCAGAACAGCTTGTAAGTGCTATCAGAAAATGAGGGACTGCTGAGGCTGCGCGCTCACCAATCGCCATCCATCATAGCTCGGCGTCCTGGCGGTCCTTCTGAGAATTGCAACCTGAGGTCTCCGAGAAAGTTCAAAGGCCCGACCTCCATCAATCCGTCGGTTGGCCTCCAGGAGACGCGCGGGGAAGCACGGTTCGCCGCACGGTCAACACCATTCAGAATGTTCAACCTATCTTGACATCCCTGGACGAGTCGTACGGACCGAGAGAGTCTTCCATCACCTTCGGCAGGGCTGAGCTTAGACATGCGCAGACGTGCAGTGTTCTGATCTACATCTGAATGGAAAGAAAGTGATAGGTTGGTGGGGCGCATCCAACAATTTGCATGAACAAATTATGTTAGGTCTGTCGGCGATGCACTCAGCTCGAATGTTGTTGCGTGACTGATCGTGTCTTTCGGCTTTGTCAATGCTCAGAATATCCGTCTTGTCGCTGTGCCAAAGAACATCTGACTGACAGTGTAGTATGTCTAGTTTGTAAGGAGCCGTTTGATGCAAAGCCTCTGGCTCTTATAGCAAGCAGCGTGCGACACTGAAGGCATGCTGTGAAGATCTATTGGAGCATGGAAACGTTACAGAGCTGGACCCAGTACTTTTTGTCAATGGTCAAGACTTGCACGGGCGTCAGATATCCGTCAGCAGAGCAGAGAATATTCTATTGATACTCGTACAACACTACTTCGGAGGCAACTGAAACGCTTGCACATGCACCAGAGCTGCAGCTCATGTGCTCATCGCGATCAGGCCATATCAGGCCGCTAAATCTGCAGCTATGCACGGAGATCTGCTACTGTTGTTAGGATGGCATCGTCGGGAATGACCTTCAGCGCTGGCACCAAGGATCATGCTGGAAACTCAGCCACGCTGCTCAATTTCCGATAGCTCGCAGATGTGTAGTGCTGTCAGGATGGTCCTGTGGCTTCAACATCCGCAGCTGCGTCTGCTCCTGCAGAGGACGGGGCTTTTGCTAGAAGAGCTGCCATCAACCTGCCGTGATTCCGCTGAGCCGAGGATGCCTGCCTGTATTGCAAGAAGGAACGGCGGATGTGCGCCGCCGAGTTGTGGATTTTTGCAAGACTGCTCTGCATGCTCTGGCTGCATGCTCTGGCCGTTGAGGTACGAGACAGACGGGTGTGGGCATGAAGCTGCATGCCACGGATCTCAAGCGTTTGCAAAGGTTGGTGAATCCCTGAACGGAGTTGTGCCTTGCTTTGAGGCAAAAAGTGTGCAATGAAGACGGCAACCGGAGGCAAATGCAAGGTGGATTTGCTTCTCCTGCTGATGTCACGAACATACTGCGCCAGACACATGTTGCTTGAGCATGTTCTTGTGGGGAGGTCTGTGGGCAACTCTTCGCTGGTTGGCGGCAGATGTGATGGCTTCGCATTTCTGAGGAAACAAGGCAGACCAACCCGTTCTGAGACTTCCTAGCCTTTGGCATGTTGTCAGCAGACATCTAGGACAAACAATGTGCGTGTGGTAATGGTGGACGCCGGACGCGGTGCTGACCCAGGTGAAAGTAGTCGCAACTTTCAGGGTTCATGCAGCGCTCGGCAAACGAATCAAGATGGGCTGGGTAGCGATCACGGACTTCCCTCAACATCTCAGAGGCAGAAACAGGACGTATGTGTGCGTGTGACGTATCCGAGCTTCACAAGCCGGCTGTGTAGGCGACTCCGCACCAGTGGCGTTGCGTGTTGCAAGCACCCGCATGCTGTCATTAGGGATCAGGTCAGTTTCAATGCTTTGCCCAGCATGAAGCAAAACAAGACTTGGAAATGGCTGCTGCAACGTCTGGCCTGACCACTTGGCTTGCATGCTTATGATGCCAATCAGATTCCATGAGATTCTAACGCACACCGCGCATGTAATGTGGGTGACTGCCAATACTACATGGTCTGGCCGCCTGAAGCCAGCAATGGATTGGTGACTTGCCGGGCGCAGGTGCGAAATATTTCTGGCATCTAGTTGGACCGCATTTCGGGGCTGAGGTGGCGCATTGGCCATCTGTCAAGACAGGTTGGCCGGGCTGCGAATGCAAAGGCGGAATCTGAAGTCGGTCTGGTCACCTGCGAGGCCGAAAACTTCACAGCCATGGAGGTGGAGGCTGTCGTAGCGGCCCGGTCTCTTTCGGCTTGCGCCGGGTGAATAGTCAAGCTTGGTGACTTCACATGTGGCAGGCCTGGCCCGGCACTGACAGCACCGGGGCATCGTACTCGAGCCACCTGGACCTGCAACTCGGCAAGTAGCAGCAGGCAACAAGAGTTTTATGAGGTCCGCTACCAAGTTGTAGCCCTGAGGTGGAATGATGAAGAGAAAAAGACCAGTTACCAGGATGCACATAGAAGGGTTCTGAAGTTGCACGCAATGCTGCGAATGTGATCAAGTGAGCTCTTTCGAAATTCATCCTTCGTACCACCCGTTGCACACCAAAAATCCTCAAGCGTGAAAATTGCTGCGCAAGCCAGCGGTTTAAATGAACAATGCCTTAGTTTCCTGTGCGGTGCAGGCATTATGCAGCTTCCTCATCCCCGCAGCGATGTTTTTGCAATTTTCCGTCATAGCTTCAAAAGGGCGCCACTTTAGTGTCATGTTAACAACAGTTCGATCCAATGGCTGGGGACCTGGACTTGTTGGGAAGGAGGGATGCCTCTTCCCCCCGCTAACATTCCAGCATGTGTGCCGCCAAACGTAGCTCTCCCTCTTTCGTGCGGTGCAGGTATGCTCGGAAGTGCGTTTTTCTTCGTGCATTCTTCTTCGGTTATTGTCTATGAGAACTGCCGCTGAAGGTGACACTATTACTTCCAGAGCATGCTTGCCAGGTAAAATTTGAGACCCAAATGCTGGAGCCAATCAGTTTGCACACGCCTTCGCATGTAAAGGATTCGGAGCAAGCACTTCATCCTAAATGTGCACGGTCAGGGGCCCCGCGCCGTCACAGTAACAGCAATTGCCAAAATGCCCCTGTTCTCCGCCTCTGCCGTGTTGGGCCCCCTGATCTAAGCACGGAACACACTGAGAGCAATTGTGAAATCATTTGAAAATCATGTTGGACGCAGAGAGCAGCAGTAGAATCAGCAGGTGGAGAGTATTCGAAAGTCGAGGGCTAAACTAAACTGTTTTAGGACCTAGTTGCAACATATGTTGTTTGGTGAAAGACGTGAAGCATATCCCATATCCCAAGACTCCTCGTCGTGCCATGCTTCCGTGAAGAAGGAGTCTTGGGCCTCGGACACTCCCGGGAACATCATGGGCTCTTGAGGAACGGGGCAATCGCAAGCATCATGAAGTCACCAGGCAAGCGCGCAGGATGCTAATTCAGCAACACAATGACATGGGCTGCGAAGACAAGCCTGCCATTGAGGCTGGTACAAGAAAACGCTTGAGCATTGGGCAGCGCAGGTTCGAGTGTCTGCTTCCAGGGATAGAGTGAGCTTTCCACACTTCATTTCCTCATCCTTCTTTGGAAGGATGCCACAGTGAACGGGGTCCTTGGCGGCTTCCCGGAGACAAGCGAGCCCGACTTGCGGGAATCCAGGATGCTGGGTTTGCCAGTCACTTACGTGTGAACAAGTGTGAGCAAATTGAGCAGCCTCGCTGAGGAGGTTTCTGCATCTGGTGCGACGGCCGTCTAACCCTCGGCTTCCGATTTGCATTTCCATTCGGATTCCGCGAGTCGCTTTCAACATAAGTGTGCTGTCACAGCCGCTGCGAAGCTGTTTTTTCATGTAACTGAGGACAGATCCACCGAGTCAAAAGGGCATCGTCCTGGACTGTGGAGCTGGAATCGGAAGAGCCCTGCCCTCGAATTGCAAAATGAGCAAGAGGAGCTTGGCGGGGCATCGTTGTCATAAATAAGGTCACGCAAGGCCTGCTGATGCACGAGCCAAATCCTCATCCTGCGCTGCACAGGCCCTCCGATTTCCATTAAGTGGCTTGCAAACGGTAAAGGTTCGGGCAAGTCGACCTTGTCGAGCCAAATGCCCGGTTGTTGGAAGCAGCTCGTGAGCAGGCCACCAGTTGAGATGTTTGCCGCTCAAAGTCCCGCTTCCATGTCTGCCAGATTCGCGATGCTAAAGTGGACCGCTTCATCAACAGCTCCTTAGAACAATTCCAGCCCGAGGAGGGGCGGTGCGCATTCAGACTCCGCCATCTCCGCCTTTTCGCATGAAGTGTCGTCCTGCATGTCTTGCGGCATGGCGCACGTAGGTACAATGCTATCTGGGCGCAGTGGGTGCTGCTCTACTTGACAGACGATGACTTGGTATCGTTCCTGCAGCGATGCAAGAAGGGTCTGACAAGGCATCGGTGGAATCCGTCCAGTAGCTAGCCTCTACACTCAAGACTAATTAAACGCAACTGTTTCACGTGCATGATGCAGTGATGCAGTGTGTTCTGTGCCAGGGACGGGCTAATATTTGTGAAAGAGAACGTCGTGCTGGAAGGGCGAGCAAGACGCGATTTCGAGTGTAATTCAGCTTGGTGTGATGGCCAATGGGGGGTGTGCGGTCACCAAAGCAGGCAATGGATCGTTGACCGAGACGATAATAGCATCTCTCGGACCGATGCCATGTACAAGGACGGGGAAAGACTGGGAATTGTGCAAGAGTCTTGGCTGTGCAACGTTTCCCAAAAGGTGCCTGCTCATCAGGAAATCTTCAGAAAAGCCGGCCTACTCCTACAGCATGAGCTTAAACAGGACATGGTTGAGGGTTGCAATCGCAGTTCACAGAACATCTGCCCAGTAGTTTGATCAGCTGTCAGGCGCACTGGCCTTCAGATCTGGTTCCAGTCAAGATGTACGCTCTTAGAAGAGAGTAGAAGCCACTTGCGATGTGGCAGAGAAGTTGCAGTCTCACCTCTGTGCAGATGTTGACGATGAGACCCGCAGCATTTTCGCAGGGAAAGCTGGATGAAGACGCTGCTGTCGTGTGTATTTATGTGTAGCGGGGAATGCTTGTTTGTCAGACTAGACTAGTGACTAGTACCAGAATTATTGAGCAAACTGTTCTGCATCATTCTGCATCCACATGTGCAGGGGAGGGACTGCTCCGCCTTGCATGTTTGTTAGCACTCTCAACATTATCAACTCCTATTTGTTGTTTTTGGTTGCGTCTCGTGTTGCGCACAATCGCCCAGCAAGAGGCATGCGCCCCTTGAAGTGCAACTTATGACGCGCGCTGCGTATAACCAGTCGACCACTGTGGTAAGCGTAGATGGGGTCGGGACCGCATTTCACGCTGTGGTATGTTTGACCCGCGAATTGCCGGTTTTGTCGGATATTTTAATGAGTCCGGCCCATTGCATACGACGTTTCAAGCGGCTTTTTGGGATCGGCATCCAATGGACGTTGTGCACGGCGTGCTTCCCTTGCCTTCTGGGTGAGGATCTGTATATGCATTCCTGGATGATGCATACGGTACATGCCCGTTTGAGCGCGCCAACCTTCCCTGCCTTTCGCCGCGCATTGGCGGAGCACGCCAACATTCACCTACATCTTGGGAACGCCGCAGCTGAGGGTGGTGCCGCCGCAACCCAAGCACCCGCCAGTGTGGGTCGGCACCCGTTCCTTGCTGGCCGAGCAGCAGCGCATGGTCATACTATGTCGTACTTGGCACGCTGGGCTGCGTTTCTATTGATGATGTGTCTTTGCAACATTTGCAACAAATGGCTGACGCGCAAACATCGTTATCATCGTTGTTTTCCAAGATAGCTACAATCCTGAAACTGCAGGTGGCCTGGTTGCTGTTGCTCACGTGCGCGGCACCGCTTTGCCACTACTTCCTCTGCGCCCTGCTTCCCTTTTCCACGATCTTCCACGGCGGCCTTCGCCCGCCGCCATGACGAGCCGGTCCGTGCTTGCGGGAGCTGTTGGCCAACGGCTCGACGTGATTTGCTGGGAAGGCAGGGCAAGCGCCGCGACCAACGTTTCAGTGCCATGGACGCTGATGTCCCGTTGGCGGATTCCCGCCACATCGGAGTGCTTGCCAGCAGCCTGCCGCTGCGGCAGGGTGCCCAGATTGCGGTCGATGCGAGAGCCAGCAAGCCCTGTAGCGGACCGTTTTGCGCGCTGCTGATGGCGTCCCAAGCAAAGCCGCGGCAGCGCCGAGCCGCATGCCCGGCCCATGGCGGCTCGTCGCTTCAGGCTGGTCGTTTTGGCGTTTGAGGTGGGTGGCCGATTCGGCGCCGAACTGTCCACCGTGTGGCATCCTCATGCATCCTCAAAGGCGCGGGCGGCGTCACGGCAGGCTACCGCCCACCGCTGGGCGGGCACGTGGCGGTGTTGGCGACGGATTTTGGGCATCAAGCAGCCTAACAGTGAAGTGTTGAGACGGGCAAGGAGCTCCACTGCGATCCATTGACATATCCTGTCGCGCGGCCATTGGCTTGTCGGTGTGGAATTTGGCTACATTGCTAGCCTGCCAGACTAGTCTGGTGAGTCAGACAGTTTCAACCCAGGAGCTCCCTACAGTTACCATGACACTGCATGATGCATCACCAACCCCTGGCTGCTGCGACGCTGAAAGATCAGTCGCAGGAGGCATGTCGCTTTCTCCGGGACTGGGTGCGCGAGAGAGCTCACCGGGCTGCCAGCGCCAGCCATTCCAGCGCTAGCGGCGGCCCCATGGCAAAAACCGCTGCGGCCTGACACCAGCGAGGGCCCACTGGACAGGTTTTCCCGCCTCGGCACCCCTGTGAGGTCCTGAAGGCGCAAGCTGCTCGCCTCTGCAGACCTAAGCCACTACCGGCCAACGACGCTGCGGAAAAAGACGCGTGGAACAAATTCAATGTGTTCTCGGAAAAAAGGGTGATGGGCGGCTAGGGTTTCGCGTCAAAACATTACAAAGGCCCAAATCAATACGCATAATATGTAAAATGGAGGTTTCGTACAAGGATCCTGGCAAGACCGCGGTGCCCGTTGTTGGTTCCAGATCCTCGTTTTACATTCATTCCTCAGGGTTTGGACGTACCCGTGGTTACCGCATAGAATATTGTTGGGTGTTGTCTTCCAAACATCCAGGAAATGGAAGAAGCACACCGATCGCCTTGCCATCCTTGCCGCAAAAAAATATGCGCAAATTTCACCAGTCCGTCGCCTGGGCTGAAAACCGTGGTTTGCATGCAGGCTTCCGCCGCAGCTTGTTTCATTCGTATGTGCTGCCCCGGAAGGCTACAGGGAGCTGGTTTCCTGGATGATACATCCAGCCGTCGTTTGGACACGCTTCTGGCAATGGGGGGTTCGCTCGCTTTCCTGGCTGGCTGGCGCGCCTGGTGCTGCGGTGTTAGGCGAACCTGGCTGGGGCCCTTTCTCAATCAACCTGCAAAAGTTTGGGCGGCTGTCCTCCACAAGTCCTGTCGGTGTCCAAAACTGGTGGGCGGGATCACTTTGCCTTCTGCTTTCGGGGTGTTCCTTGCTTGTGCTCCCGGCTTGTTGAACGCGGGAAGGAACGCTGCGTTCGCCCAGCCTGAGCGAGACCAGCGACCAGAAGCTTTCGCATGCGTCAGGCTGGAATCAAGTCAACTGCTATCTTTGGCCTTGATTTCTGTTCAAGCGGTGTCGATTTTTGTTCAAGCGTTCGTTATCGTTCGTTGCTCCAGGTTTCTTTCTTGCATCCTTGGTCTGCGAATGGACGTTAGCAAAGTGTGATCACCACCCTTTCTTGGACTGGATGGGCGCGCATCCACCTTGCTCCAGTTCAGGACATGTCCGGCATTCGCCCCAGCCCCAGCAATGGCGTTCATATGGGCCGCCACACGGGTGTCATCCGCATAAATCAATTCCCTGATCATCACGGAAGGTGGTTCGATGGCAATCTTGTGAAACTCCAGAATGCTGAACTTCCACAGATGACAATGTACCTGAATCTCTGACCTGAAATTGGCGGTTGGTGTAAATTGCTTGCACAACACGGCACATATTGTTTGGAACAAGTCGCTGCGGGGCAGCAGCTAGAGCTGCAGGGTCCGCACCGTCAAACATTTCCTCATCAAGTGCAAGACAAACCAATTGACCATCCCTCCTGGCCCAACTTTGCTCAACTACTGGGCGTCGTGCAGCAAAAATCGCATCAGATCTGCTGCATGTGCTGCCCTGAGGTCTGATCCCCCCAGTCCTTGAAATTGAAACTTGGGGTGGTATCTAATTCAATTCAGTTTCGGGATTTCAACTACAATTTCTGCAAGTTGATGGGGCGGGCGGAGGGGGGGGGGGGGGGAT